CCTTGGGGTAGCTTTTTTGCTCTTTTTCTACAAGCTTATTAAAAATGAATGCCTATTTTATTTCTTGTCATTCTTTTTAAGAGTAATGTAGGCATTTAAGGCTATCATTTCCTTCTGAACTTAGCTTTGGCTACGTTACATACATTTTGATATGTAAAGTTTTCTTTATCATTATTTTATAACTAGCTGGTAATTGAATTTTTAATTATTCTTTAACCAAACCAAAAATCTTTTTAAGAGAATATTTAGGTTTTGGTGTTCTTTTGATTGGTTAAATGTGTTATGAATTCCTAGTTTTGTTGCATATATAAGGGGTTAAATTAAAGTCCATAAATAAAAGGGTTAAAGTCTGTAGTTGTGTATATTTTATTTTTTTACAATTTACATTTTATGAATTCCATGGCTATTTTAAAAGGAAGTGTCTTTTTTTTAATAGGATCCAACTCTTGATATTTTCTTAGTCTAGTCATACTATGTATGTACATGCATAACACACATATGTAATATTCTAAAATGATGTATATCCATCTTTATTTTTAGCTTGTATAACCCATCAGGATGAGAATGATGTGTCTTCCACTTTTTGGTTTATATTAAACTCTCCTTCTATTTCTATTTCATCTATTTTGATACTCTATTATTCCATATATAAAAGTTCATCATCATTCTTATCAATAAAGTGTCACCCTTTTGTCCCATTTAATGCTTTTCATTATTTCTTATGTCACTATTCCCATCTCCTACTTTATTTTATTTGCATTTACCTAACATCTTTGTCTGTGCTTCTTCATGTAAACTTTCCATGTTGTTTAACTTTTTTATTTGAAAATTTAAATGACTAATTTATTTACATATTACAAAAGTAAAAAATATAAGAAAGAAAGATATGCAGAGAAATGTCTGCCTCCATTCCCCATCATTCACATGCCCAGTTGCTACTCCTCCACTCACTCTTAACCTGGAAAGTGGTTTCATTAGCTTCCTGTGCATTCTTGAGTTTCTTTGCAAATACAAACATTTTCACTTATTTTCCTTTAAAAAAAAAAAAACTATAGGCCAGGCGCGGTGGCTTACGTCTGTAATCCTAGCACTCTGGGAGGCCGAGGTGGGAGGATCGCTCAAGGTCCGGAGTTCGAAACCGCTTGAGCAAGAGCAAGACCCCATCTGTACTAAAAATAGAAAGTAATTGGCCAACTACAAATATATAGAAAAAATTAGCCAGGCATGGTGGCGCAGCCTCCCGAGTAGGCATGGTGGCGCAGCCTCCCGAGTAGTCCCAGCTACTCGGGAGGCTGAGGCAGAAGGATTGCTTGAGCCCAGGAGTTTGAGGTTGCTGTGAGCTAGGTTGATGCCACGGCACTCTAGCCCAGGCAACAGAGTGAGACTCTGTCTAAAAAAAAAAAATCAAAAAATTTAAAAAATTAAAAAATTTTAAAAAAACCTATAAAATATAGCAGAAGATACACCCTGACCCTTGCATTTTATTACTTAATGATGTGTCTTGGATGGCTCACCCTGGTAATTCTAACACTTTGGGAGGCTGAAGCAGGAGGGTTTCTTGAGCCCAGAAATTCAAGATCAGTCTAGACAATAGTCAGACGCCATCTTTACAAAAAATAAACAAAATTAGCCAGGCATAGTCGTGCATACCTGTAGTCCCAGCCACTGAGGAGGCTGAGGCAGGAGGATCACTTGAGCCCAGGAGTTGGAGACTGCCATGAGCTATGATAGTGCCACTGTACTCTAGCCTAGGCAGCAGAGCAAGACCCTGTCTCAAAAACAAAAACAAAACAAAACAAAAAAGTGTGGGGATCTTTCCAAATCAGTACATTGGAAACTTCCTCATCCTTTTCAGGGACTTCATAGTATCATAGTATCCTGTTGTATAGTTGTATCATCATGTATAATATTTAACTAATCCTCCACTGGTAGACATTTGGGTTGTTACCAGTTTTTGCTAGTACAAACAATTCTGCAATGAATAACCTTGTACATACTTTTTGCTTGGGTGCAAATATATGTAGGAAAATTTCATAGAAATGTTAATACTAAATCAAAAGGATTGCTCATTTGTGGATTTGATAACTACTGCCAAATTGCCCACTACTAGGCTTGTATCATTGCTCCCATCAGCAATGTATGAGAATGCATTTCCTCAATACTGTGATATCAAACTTATGGATTTTTGCCAATATGATAGGTGAAAAATCATGTCTCAGTGTAGTTTCAGCTTGCATTTCTTTTGTTTTGAGTGTATCTGTTCATAACAAACGAATCATTTCATGCCTGTAGTCCCAACTACTTGGGAGATGAAGGAGGGAGGATCACTTGGGTCCAGGAGTTTGAGGCTACAGTAAACTATGATCCCACCACTGCGCTTCAGCCTGGGTGACTGAGAGAGAACTTATCACTAAAAAAATCATTTAAGATCCATTTGCATGTCCTTGTCTGTTATAGTCATGAATCACTTAACAACTGGGATACATTCTGAGAAGTGCATCATTATCATTAGGCAATTTTATCATTGTGTGAACATCATAGAGTATACCGTACTTATACAAACCTAGATGATATAACCTATTACACACCTCAGCTATATGGTATGGCCTTAGGCTTAAAAGCCTGTACAGCATGTTATTGTACTGAATACTGTAGGCAGTTATATATAACACAGTGGTAAGTGTTTGTGTATCTGAACACATCTAAAGATAGAAAAGGTAAAGTAAAAATAAGATATTATAATCTTATAGGGCCACTGTCATATATGTGGTTCATCACTGAACAAAATGTTGCCATGTGGCACATGACTATATACCCTTTAGCCATTTTTCTATTAGATTGTTGGTCTTATTGATCAATTAGCTTTAGCTTTTTGTATTTTTTGAGGATTATCCATCCCTCTGTCACCTGAGTTGAAAATGATTTTTCTTGGTTTGTCATTAGGATTTATTTAGTGTCTTATTCTGTTTTCTGTTGCTATAACTGAATACCACAGACTGGGTAATTCATAAAGAATAGAGGTCTATTTAGCTCATGGTACTAGAGACCAGGATGTTAAGAGCATGGTGCAGGTGCCTGGTGAGAGCCTTCCTGCTGCATCATGACCTGGTGGGAGGCCTCACATGGCCAGACCAAACAAGTGTGCTAGCTCAGGTCTCTCTTCTTCTCCCTGTAAAGCTACCACTCCCACCATGGGGGCCCCACCCTGATGACCTTATCTAATCCTAAATATGTCCCAAAGGCCTCACCTCCAATTGACATATTAATTTGGGGATTAAGTTTCCAACATGTGAGATTTGAGGGACACATTCAAATCATAACACTTAGGTTTTTCATTTTTTAATGTAGTTTTTATTTTTCTGTGGTTGAATTTACCAATCTTTTCTTTTATGGATTCTGGATTTTGAGTCATAATTAGAAAGGCCTTTTCTATTCCCAGATTTCTTCCCTGTATTTTCCTTTAATACTGTTTTGTCTCTGTTTTACATGTATATCTTTAATACATTTATTTGGATATTCTGTGTTATTTTAAGTACATCTTGTAAGTAGCGTATTGTGTAGTTGACTTTTGTTTTAAACATGAGAATGAGCTGGATGGGTGGCTTGTGCCTGTAGTCCCAGTTACTTGGGAGGCTGAGACAGGAGGATTGCTTGAGCCTAGGAGTTCCGGGCTGTAGTGCACTATGCCCATCAGGTGTCCGCACTAAGTTTGGCATCAATATGGTGACCTCCCAGGAGTGGGAGAACACCAGTTTGCCTAAGGAGGGGTGAGCCAGCCCAGGTTGGAAATGGAGCAGGTCAAAACTCCCGTGCTGATCAGTAGTGGGATCTCACCTGTGATTAGCCACTGCACTCCAGCCTGGGCAACATAGTGAGACCCTGTCTCTAAAAAAAAGAAATATAGAAAATGTATTAAGAATAAATAAATAAATAAACATGAGAATGAGAGAATCTTTGCCTTCAATAGCATAGATTAATTTATTTATACTTATTTTATAACTAATGTGGCCTCATTTTTTTATTGTAAAATTTAAAATTTTAATTTTTAATTTTTTTAAGACACCAGGTCCTTGTTACCATCCCTGACAAGCTAAGAGTTGAGGTAAGTAATGCACTGTGGTCTCATTTTGTTCCCTTATTTTTGTGCTTCCTTATTGCTTGTTTTTTGTTCTTTGCTATAGACTCTAGTTTTTTCTTGCTTTTATCTTCTATAATGATTTAGAAAGTGGAGATCTAGTTTGTAATTCTATAAATCTTTAGAGTAGTCAAGCACATATATTTAAATTCATATGTATCAAATTACCAAAGTCAATAAAAGATGCCATTTATTATAGGTACTGGCTGCTTTTAATAAATCTCTACTATTGTATGCATTTTACAGACAAGGAAACTGAAGCCCAGCGTGCTTAAGTAGTTTTCCCAAGGTTACACAATAATTTTTGACGATCTCTGGATGGTGAGAAATTTAGCAGACGTAGGCCAGTCAGGGCCACCCCTGGAGCTGGACTGAAGGAAATCTCAGCTAAATGACATTGCTGAAAGTGAGGGAGAGGTTAATTCCTCAAGTTAAAATCCGTATGGCCTCATGACCTTTGATATCAAACTCTTGGATTTTTGCCAGTCTGGTAGGTGAAAATCATGTTTCACTGTAGTTGTGGTTTGCATTTCTTTTACCAGTGAGACCAAGCATCTTTTCATATGTTTGAGATCATTTGCATTTCCATTTCTGTGAACTGCCTATTTGTATCCTTTGCCTACTTGGGAGACACCCAGCAAGTAACCACTACTGGTTACCGCTACTATCGAAGCTTTCTGGATTTTTTTTTTTTTTCTTTCTTTTCTTCCTTTTTCTTTACTTTTTTTTTTTGTTTTTTTTATTTTGGATGTTTGTTTTGAGAATACCAAACAGATGTCCTTTAGAGTTTCACTCTGTTTCTTACAGAAAGTCATTTCAGAGATAATAAGCTCTTCATCTGAACTTTCAGAACAATTTCCTTCCTCCTTGCGCTGTAGGATATTTTCACAGGTCCCATGTTGATTATGTTTGTTCACTCTTGATCAGGCAGAGGCAAAGCCAGGCCAGGCACGGCCTCCTGGTCTTCTCAACCGTACACTGGATTGCTCAATAGCTACAGGCGTCTCAGTTCCACCATTAGACAGACAGCGCAGATACAAAAAGAGAAGCTGATGGAGTGGATTAGGGGAATTGTGGTCATCATTATCATAGCTGCCCCTTAAACAATGCTACATATGTAAATTTATTTATTTATGTATACATATGAGTATATGTGTGTGTATGTATATATACTAAATGTTTATATACTGAATTTATATACACATAAATTTAGTTCTCACAACAATTCTGTAAAATAGGTACTATTACTACCCTCATTTTACAGATGACAAAGATAAGGCATAGAGAGGTTATATAACTTGTCTAAGCTCATACAGCTAGTAACTAGTGGAGCAAGGACTCTGCCTACGTTATCTGGCCCCAGAATCTATGCCCTCAACCTCTCTGACTGGCTTGAAAGGTCATTCCAGTGTTGCTGGGATATGGCCAAAAATCCATCTGGTTAGTGCTGCCCTGGGTCCTTGAGACAGGAGTAGGCAGTGGGGATTAGTCTGCCTTACCTACTTTGAAACTATTAGTTTTTCATTCATTTAATCCTCTGATTCATTCGACAAATATTTATTTATTTATTTATTTATTTATTTGAGGCAGAGTCTTGCTTTGTTGCCCAGGCTAGAGTGAGTGCCGTGGCATCAGCCTAGCTCACAGCAACCTCAAACTCCTGGGCTCAAGCAATCCTCCTGCCTCAGCCTCCTGAGTAGCTGGGACTACAGGCATGCGCCACCATGTCCAGCTAATTTTTTCTATATATATTAGTTGGCCAATTAATTTCTTTCTATTTATAGTAGAGACGGGGTCTTGCTCTTGCTCAGGCTGGTTTCGAACTCCCGTCCTTGAGCAATCCGCCCGCCTCGGCCTCCCAGAGTGCTAGGATTACAGGCGTGAGCCACCGTGCCCGGCTGACAAATATTTACTGATTATCTACTCGATGTATGCCAAGTCCTGTGCTAGGTGCCAGAGATACCAAGATAAATTAGATACGGTCCTTGTCCTTAGAGAACTTGCAGTAAAGGGGGTGGCGGTAAGACATGGTCAGTTAATGACACAGGATGACACACACTGTTCTGTTTCGGAGGGAGAAGCAAGTGGTGTGTCATCCAAGAATGTGTTTCTCAATCTGGCCCCATCTAACATCTGGTTACCACAATTTCTCCCTTGCACTTTGCCCTGTGACCTTCTCTTATCTTTAGTTTATCTAGCATCCCTGAAAGTTTTTGTATTTTTGCATATCTTCCTTAGCATTTTCACAGAGTATAGAGATTAGGCTGATCAGTCATATCTGTCATTTTTTATTACCTCGGAAAAGTGGCCTTGTTCCTCTGAGTGATGGGGAGCCAGGGAAGGGTTCTCAGAATGACCACTCCAGCTGTAGTGTGGGAAATAAATTAAATGAGGGAGATGAGGCAGGCAGCCCAGTGGGAAAACCACTCCATAGTCCAGGTAGAACATGAGATCTGAGCAAAGCCTGTGGCTGGGGAAGGAGAGGAGGGGATGGACCCAAGGAATATTAAGGAAATTTACTAATTCAATCAACAATGTTTAATTAGCATCTACTAAGTGTCAGGCACTGTGCCATGTACCAAGAGTACAGCAAGGAACAAGATAGACACTAATTTCCTGCCTTCATTGAGTCTAGAGGGGGGAAAATGGATAATTGGAGCCTTTGCAAAAATAAAAGATGATAAATGATGCAACAGGAGAAGTCCGGGGCACTATAGGAAAACAGAAAGGGGCACATGAGGGGGTGTGAGGGAGGAGTCCTGGCTGATGCCGATGTCTGCCTTGGTTGCAGGAGTAGATGGTGGTGCTGTGTCTGAGCCAGGGAACTCAGGAGGGCAGAACCCTATGGATGTCTCTCTGGGTCCCCCAAGCCCAGAACAGGGCAGGAGCAGGGGAGGCGGTAAGCAAGTGACTATTGAATGAATAAATATATATGAATACTCCCCAACCTCCAGCCTGACCCTAAAAGAGGAAGATGAGGAATGCTCCAGAAAGAAACTTGAAGTTTCAGGAAGACCAGTGGTTACCCAACACCCACAAACCGTCAGCCTCTTCCTAGTTACCCAATGGGCCGTATGAGGCAGCCACGACTCTCCTGATGTCCAGTGGGCAGACTCAGCAACCCCTGACTACTCTGAGGCTAAGTGTGGGCCCCAAAAGTTATTGGAGGCCTTCCTGGAACAGGCAGGAGGGAAGAATCAGCCGTACAAAGTCCCTGGGTATGTGTCCCCAGAGTTGGGGTCCTTCCTCTGACTCTTGCACCTCCTATGTGTCCCTGTGGCTCAGCATTAGCCCCCCGGGTCTGGGTCTGTCTGCCTCCATCCAAAGGCAGAGACTGGTGATTATCCTCTGTGTCCCCAGCACCCAGCCCACATACTCCACACATGATAGAAATGTTTCTTTAGTTCAAAGAGAGCTGTACCCTGACCCCCAGGGCAGTCTCTCACACTGTCAGGAGAAGCATCGCCAGAAGCCACACAAAGGCCTGCCCCATTCTTGGCATGTGGCAAGGATGGCCATGGTTACAACCCTGGGTGGGTGGGCCGAGGCTGTGACAGTGTCTGACCCAGGGTAGGGAAGGCACCAAGCCACTGCCCTGCCTCTGCCCCCATCAATATCTGAGAGTCCTAGAACTGGAGAGTCTCTGAATCTAAAAGATCGAAAGGCCCTCTATGCTCATGTGGTCCACCTGCCCTTTTTTTTTTAATTCTGTCTCCTTGTTCCATTCATTCTCCCTAATAATCATTTACTGTCCCTGAAAAAAATTGTCTGCATTCTCCATCTCCTCCTTCCCCTATGAAAAAGGGCGTATAAGCTTCTATACCCCGTCGCAGGGCCGGGGTAATCAGTCTGAGCTTCTCCCCCATGCATGTGAAATCTGCACGCCTTTCTCCCGCTCATCTGCCTTTGGTCAGCTGGATTGTCTGGTGAACCTTCAGAGGGCAAAAAGGAAGCTTTCCCTTGGCCCCTAAAGTCACTGGCCAGGTGTTTGCCGTCAGCATAGGGTCACGTGGAACTGGCAGGGAAAGACTGTGGCCTCTTCTGCTCCTGTCACTGCCAGTAGGTGGCAAAAGGCCCAGCAGCCCCTGGCAAGCGCATCTGTGTGTGCGTGTGTGTATGTGAGTGTTTTTCTCAGTTGTGGTTATTTTATCCATAGATATTTATATAAATTTATGTTACTAGATATTTATATATACATATATGTAATTATATATGCTATGTTTATTTATAAATATATAAATAGATATTTTATGTGCATATATATATTTAATATATGACTTTTTCTTCTCGCCTGCATGGGGAAACACCATCACAGACTGGCAGACAATACTACAAATTCATACATATAAATATCTATATTTTAATTTTTAGTTATTTATATATTACTGTATATAATTATATATATAATATATTTCTTATATATTTAAAAGTATAAACCTTTTATCTGTGTGTGTACACATATTTCCAGTGTTGTCATTCCTTGTGTCTGTCCATATGAAGCATTCCACAGTGACAGTGCTACACTGTTTCTTTTGTTTTATGTTTTGTTTTGTTTTGTTTTGTTTTGAGACAGAGTCTCGCTTTGTTGCCCAGGCTAGAGTGAGTGCCATGGCGTCAGCCTAGCTCACAGCAACCTCAAACTCCTGGGCTCAAGCCATCCTACTGCTTCAGCCTCCCGAGTAGCTGGGACTACAGGCATTCGCCACCATGCCTGGCTAATTTTTTCTATATATATTAGTTGGCCAATTAATTTCTTTCTATTTATAGTAGAGATGGGGTCTCGCTCTTGCTCAGGCTGGTTTTGAACTCCTGACCTCGAGCAATCCGCCCACCTCAGCCTCCCAGAGTGCTAGGATCACAGGCGTGAGCCACCATGCCCCGCCCTACACTGTTTCTTAAGAGCGGTCAGTGGTTCTAAAACCTGAGAGCCCACTGAGCATTGTCCTCCAGTCTGATGTGAGGATGCAGCTGTATGTTGGACTCTGGATGTCGGGGCCATTTGTTCTTATGCTGTTTCCATGAGGTCCAGCTCCCACTCCAGGAGAAGGCAGAGAGTTGACTGGCTACTTTGGGGCCAGGAACATCAGGTGGTCTCCCATTCTAGTCCTCTGTGGTTGCAACCCCTCTGAGCGGCTAAGAGAAGAGAGAGGCTCTTTTTGGCTTGCTCGGCTGTACTTTTGTCAACCTAGGCTGGCAACCTAAAGGCCAGCTCAAAAGCTCACATTGCTCCTCCCTTTTGAGGAATCTTAACTGACCTGTCCTGCCCTGATCACAATGCCCCTCAGCAGTGGGAACTCTCCCTTACCTGGGACGAGAGACCAGCCTTCTATTAAATATTACTTCTCTTAGGGTCTCCTCTCATCTTCAAGGCCACAGAGAACTCACCTTGCCCCCAGGGCCCGGAACAGTCCAGCAGAGCCAGGACAGGGGGTGGGAGTGGCAAACCTTGCCATCCCTGAGAGATGAGGAAGTGCGCAGTAGGTCCTTGCTCAAAGGCCAGAGTTGAAGTGCCATCATGTGCAATAACCAAACCATCCGTGGGGCCCCATCAAGGCTAAGAAAGGCAAGAGACAGGCCATTCTGCCAAGCAGGAAGCTGAAGTGTTGTGGCTATTGTGAGGCAGTGTGCAACAGTAGCTAAGAACACCTCTGCTGTGTACCAGCTGGTGTGACCTGGTGCTTAATCTTGGTGAACCTCAGTTTTCTCTTCTCTTCTCTTCTCTTCTCTTCTCTTCTCTTCTCTTCTCTCCTCTCCTCTCCTTCTCTCTCTCCCTCCTCCTCTTCCTCTCTCCCTCCTCCCTCTCCTCTCCTCCTCTCCTCTCCTTCCCCCTCCTCTCCCCTCCCCTCTCCTTCCCCCTCCACTCCCCTCCCTTTCCTTCCCCTCCCCTCTCTCCTCTCCTCTCTTTTGTTTTTTCTTTTCTTTTCTTCTTCTTCGTCTTTTTTTGAGACAAAGTCTCGCTTTGTTGCCCAGGCTAGAGTGAGTGCTGTGGCATCAGCCTAGCTCACAGCAACCTCAAACTCCTGGGCACAAGCGATCCTACTGTCTCAGCCTCCCAAGTAGCTGGGACTACAGGCATGTGACACTATGCTCAGCTAATTTTTTTCTATATATATTAGTTGGCCAATTAATTTCTTTCTATTTATAGGAGAGACAGGGTCTCGCTCTTGCTCAGGCGGGTTTCGAACTCCTGACCTTGAGCCATCCCCACCCCACCCCCACCTCAGCCTCCCAGAGTGCTAGGATTACAGGTGTGAGCCACCACACCCATTTGTTCTGTTGCCCAGGCTGAATCTGAACTCTTGGGCTTAAGCATACCTCCCCTCCCAGCCTTCCAAGTAGCCACCAAACCTGGGTTTGCTTGTTGGGAAAATGGGGTAATGATGCTGCCCTGGTGGGATGGTGTGTGGATTAAATGTGTGTAAAGCAAAGGTCATCCCAGTGCAGCCCTAGGGAGGGGCTCCGTGAATCTGTGCTCTCACTTGGCAGTGTCAGGACACTGAGGGCACACACCGCCCCGGCTGCTGAGGACCCCTCTAGGCAGCTCAGCCCACTGTCCCGCCAGGGCTGGGCTCGTGCAGGCTGATGCCAGCAGCAGCCGGGAACTGTGGCCGACACTGAGAGGGGAGAGGCCTGCTCCGCCCCGGGATTGCCCAACACCAACGGCTGCGCCCATCCTGTCGGCTCCCCACCCTTTGGGTCTTTTTTACCTGAGGGCGAGCTAGGGCTCTCCTTCCTGCCCTGGAATCACTTATTTGTATGGCTCTTCAAGCAAGACGTCATGTGTTTACCAAAATTTCCCAAGTGTCTGCCGGGAACAGACACGGCCTGGTGAGAGGTCCGGGGGACCAGGAGAGTAGGGAAAGGGACGGGGCGCCAGGCAGCTGGCCCTGTGAAATTAGCTCTCAAGTGCCAAACAAAGGGTGTTGTTTTTTTCTGACTACAGAAATAACGCCTCTGTATTTGAAAAATACAGAAAAACATAAAACAGAAAATGAAAAATCTCAACTGTCTTGAATTATACAAGTAATGGATGTTAAGATTTTGTTGTGTTTTATGCCAGGGTTTCTATATATCTTAACCTAGCCATAATGTGTATAGATAATTGTGTATCCTGTTTTTTTTTTTTTTCACTCACCACAATGGTACAGGCATCTTCCTGGGTTTTTCACGAGCCAGCCAGTTAAATTCTACCCTATTGATTTTAGCCCATCACTCTAACAAAATTCCTTAACTTTTGTTGGGACTTAGCTGTGTGGTCTCAGCATGGACTGGTGCTGGGTGCCAGCATGCAGGGAAAGCGGGAGGAAGGTGGGGAAGAGGAAGAGAGGAGACAGAGAAGGAAAAGGAGGAGGAGACAAAACTGGCACCAGGGAGGTTCATACTCTCTGCCTATCCCTCCCCTTGGGTTAAATAATTTCTCAATATGAAAATGACAGGCCAGTCACCTGACTCCCAGGGCCACCTGGACTCACCTGATGTCCTTCTGAGTCTTCTCCCTGCTCACTTTGCACACTCAACCCTTAAGGGAAAGGAGCTCACTCCCTGTCTGGAAAAAAGCCTTCCTCTTTGGGGGTTATCCCTGAAGACCCTGGGTGGCAAAGACCCCTGGTCCAGCCACTTTGCTTCCACTTGGCTCCTCTGTCCACTTGTCACATGACCTGTTTTTCAGGTCTCTGTAGTTTTATCACCTTCTCATGATCCAGAACATTCTCCAACATGTCAGAGTGGCCCCAGAGCTCCACTCAGCTCTGGCTGAGTGTGCAGCAAGGTAAGGCAATCCCCTTCTCTGTTCTGAATGATATATCTTTATTAATGCAGCCTACATGCACATTGGCTTATTTGGCAGCCACTGCCTTTGTTCATGTAGAGCTTGTGTTCAGCTCAAATTCTGTGCTCCTATTTGTATCATTGTTGGTAAACCAGTTCTCCCATATCCTGTGCTTAGACAATCTTTTGAAGAAACCACATAGAAGCCTTGGCCCTTTTTATACATTTGCATTGTGATTTTTAGCTCTTTCCTGGCTTCTTGCATTGGGTGAACTTGGTATATGTGCACCATGTCTCTATCCAACCTATTGAGGTGATAATCTGAACCTGGACCAAGACAGACTTCCCACAGGACCTGGTCCATAACCAGAGCCATACATTTAATCAGCTTATTAAAAACCTGTGAAGAGGCCAGGCACGGTGGCTCACGCCTGTAGTCCTAGCTCTCTGGGAGGCTGAGGCGGGCGGATTGCTCGAGTTCAGGAGTTCGAAACCAGCCTGAGCAAGAGCGAGACCCCGTCTCTACTATAAATGGAAAGAAATTAATTGGTCAACTAAAAATATATACAAAAAATTAGCTGGGCATGGTGGCGCATGCCTGTAGTCCCAGCTACTCGGGAGGCTGAGGCAGGAGGATTGCTTGAGTCCAGGAGTTTGAGGTTGCTGTGAGCTAGGCTGACGCCACGGCACTCACTCTAGCTTGGGCAACAAAGCAAGACTCTGTCTCAAAAAAAAAAAAAAAAAAACCTGTGAAGAAATAGCACCTTCTTTAAAAATCTAATCATGTATTAGTATACACACAAAAGAATTGAAATCAGATACTCACATACTTACACACAATTGTTCATAGCCTACTATTCACAGCAGCCAAAAGGTGGAAATAGTCCAAATGTCCATCAACAGATGAATGGATAAACAAAATGTGGTATATATACAATGGAATATTACTCAGCCATAAAAAGGAATGAAGTTCTGGTACATGCTACAAAAACCTTATGCTGAGTGATGGAAGCAGGACACAAAAGGTCACATGTTATATGATTCCATGCATATGAAATATCCAGAATAAATAAATCCACAGAGACAGAAAGCAGATTAGTGGTTGCCAGGGACTGAGGGGTGGGGGAAAATAGAGAATGACAGCTTAATGGGTGCAGGGTTTTCTTTTGGGGTGATTGTCAGGTGTGGGGACCAGAAGTCAGGTCCTTGTGTTCCCTGGTTCTTGGTTCCCAATACCAAGGCATGGTTACTGGTGCCGAAGTGTCAGAGCAAATGATCAGACCAGGCAGATGCAAGCAAAGTGCAAAAGTTTGTTAAGGCATAGTACATTCCAGAGAAGGAATGGGCCAACCCCTTCGAGTGGAGGGGACCCTGAGTTTAACAAGATTTTCCCTCTTATGCTGATTCCCTAATTTTATGTTAAGTGGAGGGGTGGAATATTCATGGGTTTTTTTTGGGAAAAAGGTGGATAAATTCTTGGAATGGTGACTCCTCCCCTTTTCTATCCTTGTAAGGCAATTTCTGGGGGTTCCCATGGTATTTGTAAACTGTCAGGGCACTGATGAGTGTGATTTTTACTATGTTAATGAGGGTAGGTCACTTGAGGATTCTGTCACCTTGTACACATGCTCCCAAGACCCTGATTTGTGATCTTTGTCATCTCCACTTTATGGCCTTTCTACCTCTTTCTGGTTGGTCAGTCCTCAGAGACTCCTTATCGTAGACCAAATATCTGGTCAATCCTTGGGGACCCTTTGACGCATCATCTGTTCTTTCTTGGAAGCCCCCTTTCTGGTCAATTTGTTCCTCCTAGTAGACAAAGCATCTCCTAATGTCATCTATTTCTCAATGGAACCCCCCCACCCCCCAGACAAAGCATGGTTCCCCTCCCTCCTTGTCCCAACCTAACATGATGAAAATGTTTTGGAACAATAGGAGTAGTGGTTGCTTAACACTGTGAATAGACTAAATGCCACTGAAATGTACACTTTAAAATGGCTTATTTTATATTATGTGAGTTTCACCTCAATAAAAAAAAATCATTTGCAAAAGAAAAGAAATCTGAGTAGGTATTCAATGGACAATCTTGTGCTAGGTATTGGGATCACTGAAATGAGTTAGATCTGGTTCCTGCTAATGCTAATAGAGCCTGTAGCCTTAGAAGCTGAGATGGGGCAGCTGAACCCAGAACTCGAATGCTACCTTCTGAGATTTACCTTCTGTGTGGGTTCTCTAACTGGTTACTACTACCACCATGCAGACTCCCATGTGGACTGTTCCTCCCTTCTCAGTGAGCTGGGGTGGTATGACACAGAATGCATCCTTCTAGTAACTTTGCTGTGGAGAAATCTGACAATCACTAACTCTGACATGTGATCGAGTTTAATATTTTTTTTTTTTTTTGAGACAGAGTCTCACTTTGTTGCCCAGGCTAGAGTGAGTGCCATGGCATCAGCCTAGCTCACAGCAACCTCAAACTCCTGGGCTCAAACGATCCTACTGCCTCAGCCTCCTGAGTAGCTGGGACTACAGGCATGCGCCACCATGCCCAGCTAATTTTTTCTATATATATTAGTTG